AAAAAAAAACTTTCTGCTCATTGTACACTCTTGTACTTTTGCATACTCATGCTGGCCTACCGGCATTTTTTCTGATATTCAGGTATACATAGGTTGGCACGAGAACCAGTGTAATAAATTCCATAAAAGGATCGAAAATTCTTTCTAGCAAGCCTGGAAATACAAACGCTCCAGCGAGTTCTCCGGATGAAATTCCAAGCATTAGAACCTAGGCATAACATGGTTAGTAAGCTCGAAAGAGGCATACACTTTTCCTCACTTACCGATACCCCTAAATATAGTTCCACTACATTATTTTTTGTATCCTTTTCCATTTCTGATACTGGCTCGTTTTGATTACTGGCATTCACGACCTGCCCAAATAATGATACTGTGGCTTGAAGGTTTGCAGTTTCTAAAATGGCTTACATAATCTTTAACATCGTAGGCTACAGGTTCAGCTATATCGCGAGCTCGATCAGCTGCCGTTACGATTTTGCTACCGAGAAAGAAGACTCCGTCGTAGTAAGCAACAATACGTCTCCTTAACGTCTCAGCCGTCGTTTGAATTTGCTCCACATAACGTTCTGCGATTTCGGACATCTATAATATTCTTGAACAGACCAGAAAAGCTGTTGTATTTAATTGCAGCAGAAAGAAGAAAAACACAGCTAAGTCCATCTATGCCGCTTTGGTTTGCGAAGCACTTCGAAGGCAGTTCGACAGATTGAGGACTGTTATTTGATCTCCGAAAGCTGCTTCATCTATTTTGAGAGTGCAGTGTTTCGACGATACCCACCGTTTAGAATAAGAGGACTAGATTAAATAAGGAACCCTTACATCAACACTAAGGTGTTTACTATAACCTATCCACCTGTGATGAAATCAACCTTTTCATTGCAAGATTCGAAGAAATCCAGCAATGTAATCTGCATAGATCTGTAGTCTGATATACCTATGTTGTTGACAGAACTGTACGCTTTAGTAATCTGAAAGGAACATAACATAGTGTCTTTTGTCTAGTGATGTAAAAGAAATTACCGAGCAACTCCTACACGCGAGTTTCTTTAACAATGGAGCAACTGGTTATAGGCTAATAGATGATGATACCTAAGCATGCTTTACAGCTAACAAACAGCGCCCCTGGAGAAACTACTTGGAGACACTACTGTAGTAAAGCAAACCTCCTCACACATGATGCGAAAATTTTTAGAAGCAAGCCAAGATTTGTATTTTCCATTTTAGTTAGGTTTCTCATTCTTCAACATTTTCTTCCAAAAAAACTACAAAATTCTCCTATGTTAGGCAGAGCCATCTTTTACTTTCAAGAAAATGCTCTACTTCTACAAAATTAGCGATACGAGAGCAAAACAGGCAATTAGTTCTGCTGGTGTGTCTCACATAATCCATGTAATCTTTTTTTTTTTTTCATAGCTATCTTTTTTCCACTTCAGACAAATTTTGACTTCAATTACGCTCCAAAGAAGAAATCATTATTTTGAAAACATGCGGCGGTATAAAACTTCAGAGCAAGATGCTTACTACCTGGTTTTGACATCATAGTTATCAATAGTCACATGTCCATTTCCAACTTCAACTACTTGCTTTCTGATTAGGCGTCGTAGTACAAAATAAATTTATACTCAAGGTAAAAAAAATCAGCATTAAGATTTTGTGTATAAATAGTCAAAATTGAATATAATCGTCTCTTGGTGTTTTCTTCAATAACAAGATAAGGTGGTAGAGGAATTGCATAAAAAGAATCAGCGTTTCAATAAAATTTATACCTACAGCATTGTCGGTTGACGCAATCAATAAAATACATTGTCAAAAATCCAATTTTGATTTATGCCACTAATTATATTTGCCTGATGCGTTTCCATCGAAAGATTATATCTCCGAAAATACTCGAAAATAGGAATGAATGGTAAAACGCTGTCACCTGTAGCTAGAATAATGTACAATTTTGTCGTCCTGGCTTACCAATTTTGAATGCGACCAGCTTGTGTTGCGTTCATGTGCTTTTTCGAATTGTGTATTATTCGTTCTGTAGGTTTGAAAAACATTTTTCCATCTCCTCTAAATGCTGTAGACGGACCCAACATTCTCTCATATAGTGCAGAGATTACTGTCGCCGGATACTGAAAAAAGACTTAAGTAAAGATCTCACGCATTTTAACCCATGATCGCCTTTCCTCTGCAAAATTTGCCATAAAGAAAGGAGCGGCCTAGCAGAAAAATCACCGCGAAAAGAACTATCTGCCTTAGCACCCACTTTTCTGAAATCTGCAAAGTGGCTTTGGCACACTAAAACCATCTGCCAGCATTATGAAATCTTCGAGGAAGGCCGCATGTGGCGTCGGAGAAACGCTTCGCTAAGAAATGTTCCCTCACAAAGGGGTTACAGCTTCTCATATCATAACTCGGCTTTTCTCACCGAAAAAGTTGTCATACGTAATTACGCATTGACAGAACCCATGAAGTACAACAATCATGCGTTTCACTTCTACTTCTCAGTTACGGACGATAGTTTTACGAAGAACGAATGTGATATAATTACCAAATGAACTGACCCTCCGTGCAATGTAGTGGTAAAGGAAAATAGCTCCAGACGTTTAGGTCATCTCCCCCCACCCTTTTCAGGGCACTCCGCCCTCTGACTCAGTGTTTTTCTCCTCAGCACCGCCCGTGTTGGCCTCTCTCAAAAGCAGAGACAGGCTTGCGATATTTTCGGGAACAGAAGTCGGATATTCGAAATCGCCCCTTTGCCACTCGCTTCACACCAAGAAGGATCCGGAATTCTTTGTTGACAATTTCCGGTAACTGAAGTTGTATTCAGCGCACCGAGATGGTCCAGAAAAGGTGGAAAATTCAGAGTCAAAATTTGCACGGACTCTATCTTTATGCCTTCATAGCCCTTTCAACACATTTCCTAGCTTTCTATTTAAAAAGTAGGAATATTAAAAGAGGGAGTCAAGTGTCATCAAAAGCGCAATCTAAAATAAGCTTTTACTGTTTTACCTTCTAACATGATGACTCGTTAGCCTTCCTTATAGCCTTATATAACAATGTATAAGGTTACAGCGTAATTCTTCATTGACAAAGCTTGCCGTTTGGATTATCCTGATCAAATTGTTCTCTCAGCAACAGCTCCAAGCATGATATAACTAATTTACGAATTCTACCAATCTCGTCCTAAGTGAATGTAGTCTAAACCTAGTTCCCCTAGAAACCCAAAAAACATAAAGCCAACAGGCAGAATTTTGGAAAAAAAAA